TAAGGGATAAGGATACGATAAACTATTTATCTAAAGTTAATTTATTAAAGTTGTATTGTATTTAAATATTTTTTATTAGATTTTTCATTATAATGTGTTTTTTTATAAGTTATAAATACAAAATTTTGTTTTTATTGAATATAAACCCATTTTTAAAGTTTTTTAGGGCATCTTTTGATCTTAAAGCATTTTTTTAAGGCATTAAATTGTATATTTTAAGGCATTTTTCTTGTTTGTTAGAGCATTTAAATCCGTTCCTTAGTAATTAATTATTAAATTAAATTTCTGTTTTGGTATGGCTACCTACATGCAATAWCCTAATTATACATCACAAAATGTTATCATACATTTTTTTGTGGGTTGGCTAAGAACAATAGTTAGATGATAGGTTATATAAAATATGTACTTATATAATGGATAATTGAATAAAAACAAAAAATCAGTCATAGTATGGAAATCGTAATCTAAACAACACATACAGGAATATTATATGTATATATGTGAAATTTGTAGTATTAATATAATTAATATTATGTGTGATGCTCCACTTATCTTAGCTTTTGGGTAGTACTTGAGTAGGTACTCGAATAAATATTTGACTTGAATATAATAGGTTCAACCGTACAACAAATATAATATTATATAATATAGGATCCAGGAAGACTTGGATTTAAAGGGAAAATTTAATCAAGACCCTAACACTGACAGTGCGTATTGCTGCCTCCGAATTAAGTCCCAAAATTAAAAATCGACTAACTAGTCGGGTCACAGATTATTTTAGTTACTTGTTACCACTTTCTACAGTATAGTTGTGTACCGAATTTTTTTCGATAGTGATAATTTAAACAATACGCTTACGGCTTACACATTCCTTCTCATTCTAACAGGCTTAGGACTATATTCTGAACTATAATATATTTTGGCCATAAATGAGGCTAAAAATGACAAAATGGTGACAAACCTACAACTAACCTACACTAACCTACAAATCTATATTATATAATTATGTAATATGTATATTATATATGTATTATGTATTTATGTACCTATATAGTATAAGTGACTAAAATAAATTATAGAAAAGTGTAATACAGTATATGAATAATATGATATTTATGAATACCTACTTTAAATTATTTCGTCCCTATCACACACGAGACACTGGTAAATCAATGAGTCCTGGGAGTTTGGTGTGGTGTCGTTGATGGGGATGCACGGTCCAGCCCAATCTATATGGCACTGCGATTGCAAGCATTCGTTACACGACTTGAAATTAACGCTAATTGGTGAAGACAAATTATCATCGATGGAGTACACGTAGACGAAGTTCAATAGTATGGTGAAAACGAACACGGGAACGACGGTGTACGACACAAACATTTTGGAAATCGAGTCTGGTACCTAATATGCGGTACTGCGATGTATGTTATATCGGAATCTGTTCCTCAACAACGACGAAGTTGATCCGGTCAATGTTTGAGCGTTAATAGTTGATGGACTGACACTACAGTTCCGATCGGTTTAAGTTTCGTTTTTATAGCCTAACCACTGTCGGGTTCGCGATCGTTGCGTCGTTTAATTGGTCGGGTCTCGTCGTGGTAGGGTTGTGCGATGGGCGGTCGAATCAACACGACAAAATTATTTTGTTTGACTTCCGTCGTACAGTGTGTCACTAAAGTCCCGTTACGCAGTAATTATCTCTGTGTCAAATCCTCCGCTTGATAACTATACGTCCTGCAGTGGATGTGACATTGTTCAACAGCAATTTATTGTAGAAATGTGCGACATATAGTTTCAATTTCTTAATGGTTGTAGTGGTGCTAAAGCCATCACTCTAAATAGATTGATGTGCCCATCTCACAGACTTATATACTTAAGGTGGTTCGAGACATTTAAGAAGTAATATATTATGCTACATACTGATATTATCTATAATCGATAGATATAACTAAAAATAAATATTAAATTTGTGAGTAAACAGCATAAATCCATGATAATTTATTAATAAATAATAATTTATTAACAGTGGTATTCAATCCTTAAGTACCTAGGTATCTAAAATCTAAATATAGTTCTAGTAATTCTATTAATCATTAATAGTCGTAATAAATTAAAATATCTAACATATTGGTCCAAACGATGTGTTCAACATTTTGAACTTAGAAAGACTATAAAAATTAAAAGGACTTTGCGCGCATGTGTTGTCACCGTCTTACACATGTATACTATATAAGCAAATTTTCGTTCACTAGTTTTAATAGTGTGCTGCAGTTGGTTCTGATATTAGAGTAAATTGTGAATGAGTTATGTGCATTTTCAAATATTTATGCATTATATACAAATAACTCATTTGAAATTAAAATATCGTAAAAAACCAACGAAATAACACAAATATTGTTATTACCTAAAAGTTTGATAATGACTCAGTTCGATCTAATATCAAAACTAACAGCACACTATTGAAAATAGTGAACGAAAATTTGATATGTGTAGTACGTGAGTAAGACTCAAACAATAAACACTTATGGGAAACTTGTAACAATAGAACATTTAAATACATTTTTAAACAGAAAATAATTTTCACATTTTCGTCTAGTACACATTATTAGTATAATATTCAATCATGTGTATTCGAGTATGGTTAATATTACGACTCTGGTGTGCCGCAAGGTGGTCGAGTGACCCGGTATTGTTCGCTCTATTCATTAATGGCATCAGGTCCGTATTAAAGAGTTGCCGATTTCTCGTATTTGCAGATGATATAAAATTATTCTTTCGCATTGATTTCTCTCGTGATAGTGATCTGCTCCAGAGTGATGAAATTAATGCCCTGGTATTTTGGTGTAGGCAGCTTGGTTTGGAGCTCTGTATTCCAAAATGGCATTATATGTCTTTCACGCGTTCTCATAGCCCTATTCAGCATAATTATCTAATTATTGATGGTACCAGTTTAAGTTTTTCTGCAGGTAGTCGTGTAGTCGACCTAGGTGTCACATTTGACCGGACTTTAAGTTTTAATCTTCATATTGAAAAAATCACGTGTAAGGCTTTGGAAATGCTAGGTTTCATAAAAAGAATTTCATCTGAAGTTCAATATGTGTAGGTAGTTCTTTAAAAGCGCTTTACTGTGCATTTGTACGGTCTCACATTGAATACGGTGTAGTGATCTGGGACCACCAGAATTTTCGTGACTCTTGCTAATTTGAGCGTGTTCAGCATAAATTTCTAAAATATGCTTCTTTTGTACTGCATGTTGACTGCCTTCCACACGATTATACACCAGTTCTGATGAAATTTAATTTGCGGACGTTGAGTGATAGAAGGAAAAAGTCTAACTTGGTTTTCTTATCAAAACTCTTGAGTGGGGAACACTATTACTTGTTTACTGAGATTTGAAATTATTTTTTGTAAAGAAAATTTTCGAAAAACCTACACGAATATCAATCGTAGAACCTAACGTTGTAATGAATTTTGGATCAAGAAAAATGATTCCTAGTGGAGATGATTTGTCAGTCTATGACATTTTTTAGTTTTATACAATATTATTTATTTTGCTATTATTTCAATAAAAAATAAAAAAAATTAGGTACCTATAAAATAAAGTCCAGATTCATTATGCGCACGACTCACTCAGTCATTTATAGTAGGTATATTATACAATTTAATGTTCACACGTATTATATTTTTAAATTATAATAATATAACTAAAATTTTTGTTCTTGATTATTTAATATGTAATTTCATCCAAAATTGAAATTAAGATAAATATAAAAAACTGTTTGTGAAGTTTTTAGATTTTTTTTAAGTGGAATTAACTACTTACGTGGTACTTCGTTTTTTTAAGATTTAAAAGTTTTATAAATTTTCAACAACTAAAGATAACACTTATAACTAATTATAACATTTAGGTACCTATGCCTTCCTATTATTATTTTTAACTATTTATATCTTATTTTATAAAAAATTAAAAAAACATTAGTTCGTATCTTATTTGACCAAAAAGCTGAAACACTAATTTCTCATCAACGGCCAATGCTAAATCAAACACGCAATATCAAAATCTAGTAAAACTGTTGACTCGCAACAGTTTGTCGGGACGTTGTCGGCTAGCTCCTGATATTTATCTAATACGAATTTTTGAATTTTTTTATATTTTTTTTTTTAGTCGCTTAATTCACACCAGACGCCATTTTTTTTTATCGTTTACCAACTTACACGCCACATTTTTATATCCGGGAACCATATATACCTAAAATGCGTAGTTACATGTTTACCGTGTAAGAACTTGCATATTATGTGTGTACCTTTTTCTATCGTTTATGATTTAGGAACTGACATGTGTAATTTTTTTTACCGGCTAGTAGGTCTCGTGTAGTATAAAATTACATCCACCCTGAAATATTATATTGCCTTTTGATACGATATCTGTAGATGGGTAAACATAATGTGAATTGTGAATCGCAAAAGTTTGAATGCCTTACATACAGAGGGGCTGGCCTCTGATGAAGTGTGCTAAGTGCTTTATATAGGTGAGGTGTTACGTGTCCATAAAAATATATAAGTCATCGTGGACTATATTGAAAAGGTTTGAGGATGGTGAACTGGTGGATGTGAATAAGTATGTACATTTGATTTGAGGACGTTTAAAGGGGCCTAAATGTAAGTTCTCACTCGTTAGAAAAAGTTACGTATTACCTAGGAAAATGGAATACAATATAATAAATATAGTTTAGATTTTTTGTTCAGAATGTCATTAAGACCTAACCTAACCTATGTCAAAATTGAATTATATTTTTTCTACTTGTTTCTGTCTTATTTTAAAACTAAATTTAGTTAGTGGTCCTATGTTGTCAATATTAACCAAGCAATAATTGATGTTCCAAGTTTATTTCACAYAAGGTTTTTTTGTTTTCTTAACAAATTTATTATTGATAAAATATACATATATTAGATTAAAACCTATATAATCATGGGCGTGCGCAGGGGGTATGCAGGGTATGCAGCTGCTACCCTGAAGTTCTGTGAGGGGAGAACGTCGACTCTGGAAAATTGAAACATCCAGTTATCAGTTATCAACTACCAAGTATTTGCGAAATACATACTTCTTGTATTGTGTAATGGTATTTATTATTAGTCTATTATAGTTTTTTAATTAAACAGTAGGTTTTTCAATATTTGTGAATTGTGTATTACATATTATCAGAATTTTACGATCTTAAAATAACTTTCAGTGCGCGCTATTGTCAGTCTTCTGCATATCCTGAAAAAGAGGCCTGCGCACGCCTATGTATATAATTAATTTTAAAAAAGAGAAATAGTCTCTTTATCCTCCAAATTTATATAGTATATTATAACATTAATTCCTTCATAAGTCTTGTCAATGGATAGTTTTTCCTCTATTACTTACCATTTTTATAATTATATATAAAAAAATATTATCACTTTAACTACTTGTACCGCAACCACATAATAATTTGTACGAATTATTGAATTTTCAAATTAGTAACAAAAGTCATATTATATTAAACTAAACATTCTATCAATAATATGATAGTGTAAATAATTTATTAATATTTAAAAAACACACATCATTGTAAAATCAATACATACATTTGGTACTACATTCTGAATCTAAAATTGGATATATGTTTCTTTTGTAATGGTTTTTGTTTCTGGTATTCRATCTTATTAATAATCAAATATTATCTATTTAATTATTGCCATAATAGAGACATGAGTTAAATGTTAGATTTTAGGTGTTTATAGAATAAATAACAAAAAAACTTAATAATAATTTAATATTAATATAAATTACATTTAAAATTTCATCAGTAGCATAGCATATAAATAATATGTACATTGACTATTGAGAAAAAAACAACAATTTATAATTTTAAAAAAAAACATACAATATGAGGTACCACAGTCAGTGTTGAGATTAGATAAGTACTTTTTTATCTAGATAAAGATAAAAGATAACACAATTTAAATTTATCTAGATAAAGATGAAATATAAATACATTATTATCAGGATAAAAAGAAAGATAAATTTAATTTTTTTAACACATTGAAATCCAAAACATTTTAAGAGTACACCTTTGATATTACTTAGTACTTCAATATTATATAAACATCGGCTATATGAGTAAATTAATGTTAGCAGTAGACATTATTATTAATAAATAACTAAGGTATAACTGAAAAAAACATTTTTTAAATTGAGTATCAAAATCAAGAAAAAAATACAMATTTTACACGATTCGTAATAATGTAATGTAGGTATTCTCGTATTTGATCACAGTGTCCGGGCCCCTAATGAAAATATCAATAATAAAAAATAATACTTGTATAATAAATAACATTATAATGAACATATTTTTTTTTTTTACTGAGAGTCTGAGATGACTCGACAATTCAAATTTAAAGTATTGGCTAGTTATCATACAAATAAATTGACAATCAAAATGCGTATTATATTTTTTTGTATAGAGATGAATTTATCTAGATGAATGTTTTTTTAATCTTAGATAATTATTTAGATAAAATTCAAATATTTATCGAGATAAGATAAAAGATAACTAAATAATTATCTAGATAATTCTCAACACTGTCTAAAACAAATGATCGCAGATACTTGAAATTTTCACTGAATGTTTATAWAGGCATTTTCTATATTTGATAAAATTTAAAAATATTTAAATTTGTTTTGAGCTGATTACTGACATTTTAATTTTTCAACTTTTTTAGTTTTTTTTTTTTCTATAAATATCGATAAAAACGTATGTGTTCGGTATAAAAGCAATCCCCCCACCATAGAAAAATCATGAGCACGGCGTTTTTACAGACAACACATAATCATGTACCTAACTGAAAATGTATCAATATTAGCACGCAATGGCGGCTATATCTTCAGATTCTGTCACACATATAATCCTTAAAATATTTCCACGATGCCGATTACAAACCGCAATGGTCAAGGGCCATCCCTTTTGAGCCCTCTACTTATAATTACCTAGTCACACCGCTGTTTAAAACGTATCTACTACCGTACTGGTGTATGTACCGGCAAGAGATGGTAGTTTACATTGGTGCAAATTAAAAGTTTTGTAGGGATAAGATGGCATAGATTTAGTTTGTTTTTGTTTTATTTAGTTTTTATGGGACACGAACTACCTATACAAACTTAAAAGTGGCGCAAATTACCAATATTAATTTTTAAATGTAGCACAARTTACATATAATATATATTCTTATTTATTTTGAGAGGAGAGGGATAGGTTTTTGATGTGAATTACATACRCTCGTWTCTTCATACTWTAGGTGGTAMGAGTTTTAAATCGTTTTAGGTTTTCGAATTTTATGCGATAGTTTGCTACCATAACAATTTYRGTGAAAAAAAGTAARGACGAACAATTGATTATGGTCGTCTAATGCAATTATATGAGCTAACAAATATTTGATGTTTGCAAAATTAATTTGGCGGCAATATTTCAATTAACATTTAACAGCACACCTAATGTCAGCTATTAATTTATAACTTCGTAATTGTACTGCAACTTATAAACTGCTGTTCAATTATTATAATGCGCATATTGTGTACAATTGTATTTAAATGAGGTACTTYTCGTGCCATCGTAGTCGTAAATATTATACCAAATTCCGAAACTATTACATAAATCAGCCACGCAGATTTTCTATTCAATTGAATATTTGATTGTACCCAACTATTATTGGAGTTTTTTGAAATTTATTTTGTTTAAGTGTTGTAAAATTAGTTTACTCTTAGCATTTTATGTTGTTTAATTTGTANGTGAGCTATTCCGGCTATTATAGACAGATTGCTATGGCTGTTTGCTATTGGTTGTAAAGTTTATCATGATTAATTAATATACCATTTTCTAAATTATATTTTGCTTATTGTTATTTGATATCGGTCCTTGAAAAAACGTTTTAAAAATTTATTATTCAGTTCATTCAATATGTTTGAAATATTTAAATTTAAATCTAAAACAATTGAAGAGATACMCACAGGATCGACAGATACTACTGATCAACCTGAACCAATTGTCGACGATTTTGATTTAGATTTAGGTGATTTAGAGTCTGGTCCTAAAAGACCAAAACTAAAGGTAAGTTATAAATTTATTATACATGACATTACCTACCTGTAATAGATAGGTAATAATCTGTATTTTTTTATTATTAAATATTATGTAGCATTGTAGCTACTTAATTAATATTATTAATTTTTATATACCTAATAATATTTAGCAATTCCCTTTAACGCAATTTGGTTCTCAAAAACGTGGTTTTAATTCGTCATATTATGTGAATAATAATTGGCTCGAATACAGTATTAATAAAGATGCCATTTTTTGTTATGCTTGTCGAATATTTGGAAACAATCATACTGAACCTACATTCACATCTGTTGGATTTAAAAATTGGAAAAAAGTATGTTCAATGTTTTATTAATTATAAAAATATAGGTACCTAATTAAAAATATCTAAATTATTTGGTGCATATAGTTAGATCAAGAGGTTTAAAAAATGGGAAACAATCAAAGCTTGATGCCCATGCTAGTACAAAAACTCACTTGACTTGTATGGCAAAATGGTCAGGACATAATATAACTGTTCAAAAAACTGGCACTGTTCATACTCAGCTAACAACTCAGCATCAATTAGAAATTGCAGCTAACAGAGAGTATATAAACAGCCTTATTGATATTACACTATATTTAGCAACTCAAGGATTGGCCTTTAGAGGACATGATGAAAACAAAACATCATTAAATCAAGGTTTTATCATTTAAAATAAGAAAATAAATATAGGTACTATGAAATTATTATTGAACTGTTTATTTTGTTTTTAGGGAATTTTAAGGAAGCTTGTGTTTTATTTTCTAAGCACATGCCCAAGTTTTCTGAAATATTTAGCAAAGATACTAATTACACTAGTCATCATATACAAGATGAAATCATTGATATATGTGCAAATAGTGTTAAAGATTCAATTACCTATAGAAGAAGTAGGACCAGGAATATTCAGTATAATGTGTGATGAAGCACGGTAAGAAATGCATATAACAATACAATAATAAAATGCTTTTATTTAATATTAAAATATTCAATATCCTACTTTTTATTTTTTATTTTATCATGACTTTTATTTTTTAGTTGCTATAAAGACGAGCAAATGTCTCTTTGTATTCGATATGTAAAAGATTTTGATATTAAAGAAAGATTTCTTGGATTTATCGACTGTTCTGAGAAACAGGATGCTCAAGCTTTAAGTGAGCATATTTTAAATTACCTTCAAACATGTAAACTAAGCGTTTGTGAGTATTCTAATTAGTAGGTATAATAAMGACAATTTTTAATTATTTTAATGAGTTATTAAATGTAAAAATGATTGTTGGGGGTGTGGGGGCAAAGCCCCCACGGGTCAGTTTATTACCAAATATTTGAGCCCCCCTCAATATTTCACAGGATCTCCGCCTATGGATGGTAGTTTACATTGGTGCAAATTAAAAGTTTTGTAGGGATAAGATGGCATAGATTTAGTTTGTTTTTGTTTTATTTAGTTTTTATGGGACACGAACTACCTATACAAACTTAAAAGTGGCGCAAATTACCAATATTAATTTTTAAATGTAGCACAAATTACATATAATATATATTCTTATTTATTTTGAGAGGAGAGGGATAGGTTTTTGATGTGAATTACATACACTCGTATCTTCATACTTTAGGTGGTACGAGTTTTAAATCGTTTTAGGTTTTCGAATTTTATGCGATAGTTTGCTACCATAACAATTTYRGTGAAAAAAAGTAARGACGAACAATTGATTATGGTCGTCTAATRCAWTTAYATGAGCTAACAAATATTTGATGTTTGCAAAATTAATTTGGCSGCAATATTYMAATTAACATTTAACAGCAYACCTAMTGTCAGCTATTAAWTTATAACTTCGTAATTGTACTGCAACTTATAAACTGCTGTTCAATTATTATAATGCGCATATTGTGTACAATTGTATTTAAATGAGGTACTTTTCGTGCCATCGTAGTCGTAAATATTATACCAAATTCCGAAACTATTACATAAATCAGCCACGCAGATTTWYTATTCAATTGAATATTTGATTGTACCCAACTATTATTGGAGTTTTTTGAAATTTATTTTGTTTAAGTGTTGTAAAATTAGTTTACTCTTAGCATTTTATGTTGTTTAATTTGTACCATTGTACCTATATGGTTTTGTTTACATTTTACATATAGTAATTAATTATTAAATTAAATTTCTGTTTTGGTATGGCTACCTACTTGCAATAACCTAATTATACATCACAAAATGTTATCATACATTATTTTTTGGGATGGCTAAGAACAATAGTTAGATCATAGGTTATCTAAAATATGTACGTATATAATGGATAATTGAATAAAAACAAAAAATCAGACATAGTATGGAAATCATAATCTAAACAACTTATACAGGAATATTATGTATATATGTGTAATTTGTAGTTTTAATTAAAATTAATATTATGTGTGATGCTCCACTTATCTTAGCTTTTGGGTAGTACTTGAGTAGGTACTCGAATAAATATTTGAATTGAATATAATAGGTTAGGTTAACTATTAAAGGTTAGGTCAACTATTAAAGATTATTAATTATCAAACAGAATATCTCACTTCGTGTTACGATTTGATTTTATATATTGTCTTATGTCATGAACACGGCGCAAGTGATTTTTAAATTTTTTTTAATATTTAAAATGTATTTTTAACTTTTAGGTACCTATATGCATTCCTATTATTATTTTAAACTACTTATATCTTATTTTACAAAAAATAAAAATATAATAATTCGTAGTTGTACACAACTGTACAACAAATATAATATTATATAATATAGGATCCAGGAAGACTTGGATTTAAAGGGAAAATGTAATCAAGACTTATATATATATATAATACAAACACTTACAGTACGTACTGCTGCCTCCGAATTAAGTCCTAAAATTAAAAATTGACTAACTWGTCGGGTCCCAGATTGTTTTAGTTACTTGTTACCACTTTGTACAGTATAAAAATGTGTACCGAATTTTTTTCGGTAGTGATAATTTAAACAATACGCTTACTGCTTACACATTCCTTCTCATTCTAACAGGCTGAGGACTATCTTCTGAACTATAATATATTTTGGCCATAAATGAGGCTAAAAATGACAAAATGGTTTTTCGTCAAAAAAAATACGAATTATTATATGTTTATTTTTTATAAAATAAGATATAAGTAGTTAAAAATAATAATA